CAACTTCTGCAGTTGTAAAAAAAAACAAATGGACAACCTTAGCAGCAAATGTGTAAAAATTCGAAAATCCTTCCTGTGTATCAATATATAATTAGCATCTTCAACAATATTACAAACCACAGTTAAGGACTACCAAGAATGTGAAGTAGTTACTGTAAGTAGAAAGAATATTATAAACAATTTCTTTTAAATGAATAGGAACTGTACAAAAACATAAAATTATTTCTATGTCCTGGCATTATTTCTGTTCACTGATTTATTTCTTAGATAGGAAAAAAAAGTTATTTCTGGCCAAACAAATAGCTAAGTTACTTGTTTCAGTTACATTTAACAGCTTTTTAATGTACTTATTAGGACATCTTTCAGCTTCATCCTCTCTTTTGGCATTTAAAAAAAAAATCCCGTGTTTTAGGGAAAGAAGGAAATAATATTGAATTAGAACCAGCTCTAGCCATATTTAATCCCCTTCTGAATAACTTCTTTCCCAAAACAGGTCTTTCAGAATTTTGTCTTTATAAGTATTGTTTCCTGCTTTTGCATCATTTAAAAAAAGAAAAGAAACAGAGAAGACCAAGATGGAAGGAAATGAGCAGTGATGATTTTTTTTTAAATAGACATTTCACAGCTGTAATTCTAGTCTGCTTTCAGCACCATATTTAAATTTCAAATAGTCTCAGATCTGGGGAACTTGTAATGACCCCAATTTTTTTGGTGTTGGGAAAAACAAAACAAAATCTGAAATAGCCCTAGAAGTTGAATAACAAGTGAGTTCCTTTCATCACCTCTCCTGACTCAATAATTAAAGTCGTCAGCTTAATGTGTCATTAAAAACTAGAGGAGTTCTCATTTTGGTTTATGGAAGCCAGAATTTAGAACCAAGGTTTTAAAAGCAGGCTGGCGTGGCAATTCTGGGAAGTGAAGTCCACATATCCAAGGGGCCAAGTTTGAAAAAAACAGCCTTGAAATCTAGTTGTTGTAACTTGCATTTTATAGCTGGCTCCAATTTGGAAGGCGCAATCAACCTTTCATTAATTTCAAGAACCACATACCACTAGGAGATGCAAAGATATAGGGACTTGCTGGTTTGTTAAGCAGACCTTGGGGCCTTGTGAAGCCAGGGTGTGAATCAAGATAAAGATTGCCAGTAGATACAAAACAGATAAATAAATGCAAGACTCCCTGAGATGTAAATGAGACTCTTAACTTCTCCTTTTACGTATCTGTCTTCTTCAGACGTATCCATGGGATGGGGTCAAAATAGATCTAAGTGGCCACCACATTGAAGCTCTAGCTGATTTTTATGAGCATCATGATGCCTGTAAAAATGGCCAGAGCATCAATCACTCCAGTGTGGATACCATCTTGAGTTTGTATACATCTGGATGATTTGACTCTTCCTGGCCAAGAAGGGAGTGTTTCCCAATGGGCGGCAATTGCTTCCACTCAATTCAAAGAAGAAGAAAAAGGCTAATTTCTTCGAAGAACAAACTGTCCGGCTAGAGAAACAGGCATCCCTGGAAATAAACTACTGGCTTGTGTTTAGGGCTTCCTTTCATGTTTACCTCGACCAAGTGGTCATTTCCTGTCTTTTATGGGTTGGGCATCACACATCTGGGCTAAAAGACCATGCCAAATCCCTGCATTCGAGTAAACTTGCTCCAGGTTTATTCTCAACTTGCCTTAAAAGAATAAAAACAGGGATTCAAAGGCATCATGAAATCCAGTGAAAGTTTGTTTGCAGATTGAATTCAAGGCAATGAATTGTTTGCAGACTGAATTCAGGGCAACTTACTTCTCCCTCAGGAAGCCTTAATGCAAAAGTTTATCTGTGGTCAGTGAAAGTGACTGAAATCAGGGTGAGGCCACTGGATTGGGATGTAAACCCCCCTGGCTTTCATGGAAGCAAAACCCCATTGCTATAAAAAAAAGAAAAGAAAGAAAGAACGTGTCAACCGTTTGAAAACATGTGTGGTCCAGCCTCAGTAGATGAAGAATAGATTCATCATCTGCTTTTTAAAATAAGGATTTACTGTGCTCGTATCTTAATATTTAGAGAATTGGTGCTAAAATGACGCTATAGGGCATTGCACACCAGAGCAACTAGACACAAGGACAGTCCCTCCTCCCTAAATGCGATCACTCTGCTAAACAACTAATTCCCATAACACCGTCAAATTATTTAGTAAGACTGTATTCCTATTCTTCTTCTCATCCTTCCTATTACCTATCTCTTCCCACTTATGACTATAATCGTGTTGCTTGTATCTTTACAATTTATATTGTTTTATTTATTCCCTAGTATGATTTGATTGCTTATTAGTAACCTATGACTATCACTAAATGTTGTATCTTATGATTCTTGATGAATGTATTTTATTTTTTCTTTATGTACATGGAGAGCTTCTGCACCAAAGACAAATTCCTCGTGTGTCCAATCACACTTGGCCAATAAAGAATATTCTATGCTATTCTATTGTATATGTGCATTAGGCTCTGCTCTTTTCAAAATGTTGCAGTGTGATTCCCATGCAGCTAGTCCCTGATTTATGACCAATTCAAAAAAGGGGGACTACAGCTACCAACAGTCAGGCCACTTCCTGGTCACTCAACCCAAGTTCAGGTGCCTGGCAACACGGCTACCTTTACGGCTGTTTGTAGCATCCTGCTGTCATGTGACTGGGTGGTGCAACCGTTTTGCTAAAAGGGGCCACGTCTGATGTTTTCTGCAAAACCACACCCATGGCGAACCGTAGGATTCACTTAATGACTGTGGGATTTGCTTAAGGAACATTGTCACAACGAGCATTGCAAAATCGGGTTGGTCATGGGAATAACCTTTTTTACGACCGTCGTAACATACAACTGTAATAGGCAGGTTCCATTATGATCGTATGTTGTACATTATCAATATGGAATGCAATTTTTCAAAGTATGTATTAGATGAAAGTCAGCATCAAAGCGTTACATGGGAAGAAAGAGAAGAGAGATTATATTTCAGAGGAATCTTCCTATAAATACATACAAATTTCCAAGCATTTCCCCCCTTCTTTGAAATGTTTAAAATTGGGACTCTAAATTAACAATTTTCTCTATAAAGGCCTCTGTACCTCTTCTCAGACTTCTGCAAGTAAAGTATCATATTTAATTTTTTTTCTCACTGGTTTGGGTAGAATAAAACTACCTCTCTTACCAAAACAGCAACCAGCATTCAGAGCTATTATATATATATATTTTAAAAAAGCTGAAAATTCAGGAAAGGATCTAAAAAAAATTACCTGGGAAATTATCATCGCATTCCCTGGAGCGATTCTAATTTTGCACAAGATATATTCCAGATGACCCAGGTGTTAGTTTACTTGTTTAGATGTCTGGGTTGAACACTGAGAAATTGGTTATTAAAGCAGCAGCTATGCCATCCTCACAAGTTCTTTTTAAAATGAATACAGCACTTTTTAAAATGAAAAATAACAAGGAGACGCTTTCCACCCGGATCCTTTATTTTGGATGCCAACTTGATCCGATCAACCAGCCGTCTTAACCCTGATTGCAATAGGAGCACACTGGGTGTGTTGAATTTTAACAATTCTCGTCCACGGGGAGCCCTTCTTTAACCATTGTCCTAGGCAGTTGAATCTACAGGTGCTGAATTGCGACATACTTAAAGGTTAAAGATGGTCGTTGGGGCTGACATTCTCCAAAGCCAATATGATAATATTGTGGACCGTACCACTTCTTCAGACCTGGGGGGTGGGGGGGGGGACATGCATATATAATTTCAGGTTGCATGCCACCTTGAGACAGAAACAGAGTGATATTATGTCCTTGGAAGATAAGCCAAGCAAAAGCTATCAACAACTGAGAAAGGACATACAAAATTCTTATTCCGTCATGCAAGACAATTCTACTCAGAAAGCCTTCTGCTGCGTTATCTATGGGAGGGTGGGAATTGCCGTGTTTTTTCCCCCTCCCCACCCGATTCCTTCCTGAGGTGGAAGGATGGGTTATTCTACCCATCCTTCCACCTCAACCATTGCATTCATGGGTGAAGCTCCACCCTCAGTCACTCTTAACGAGGCAATGAGTCAAACCAGGTACCAGATCTGCTTATCTCCACCGACCATAGGTAGAAGTTCTAGTTTTCATACCCTGGTCCACTCTAAAATGTACAGAACAACTTATTTACAAGAAAAAGAGAAATTCAGGAAGGAAGCTTTGAACATGCCAACTCAGCTCACCAACAGAGTTTAACCTAATCCATGAAAAAAAATAGCAACTTCATTCCCCTAACAGCTACAACTTGGTTAGTCTTCCAACTTAGAATGGAGAAAAACACACTCACACCACACACACACACAGAGAGTGTAGACCGGATTCCTGTAATGGAGAACGAAATCTCTTTTCCACAAATGAAGGCAAATATACAAATATGTATGTCCCAGGATAATGTCCCAGGATAAAAAAAAGGACTTCTGTTCCTTTGAGCTTTATTCTTAACATTCCATTAGGGTTCTATGTCATGCTGATTTATTTACAGTTTATACAATTTGTGTTCGAGGTGTACGAATACCACACATTTTTTTTAAATATTTGCATTCCATTTTTTTAATTAAAAAAAGAATGTGCAGAAAAATAGGGGGTCTGGACCCCTTCTGCCATAATTACATTTTTTATATACAGTGCAGAATAAAATTTAAAATTGGTGTGTCCTCTAAGATCTATTCTCAGGCAAAAAAAAATATATGAACAAATTGATTCCCCAAAAACCATCCTTCATCATTTCTATAAAACATAGGTTTCATTGTGCCCTAGGGCTGTTTCATATTTGCCACGATTTCTTTACACATACATACCCACTAACAATCGCACAGCCTTCCTCATCCATACAAATTTTCACAGCGCATATTGCTGGCATGTGACCTATTCTAATACTGCTTGAACCAAGGCTGCTGTTGGGGTTTATTAAAAAAAAATAGTTTGAATAAATAAGCATGTGAGCCTTGTTAGTCTTTTTATTCCCATTTTCAACCTTTATTTCTCAAAGTGCTTTTGTAATTTTGTACTTTAATATTTAAAAGAGGCTTTTTTTTGTATAGCCAGAAGGAAAGTGAGTTTTAGAACATCAGGCCGTTGTACAACAAGGTGGTCCCAAATTCCTCCTTTGTTAGGTTGTGTGGTCTGTCTGCGGGCTTGCCTGTCGAGGCTCGAGGCTGGCTCGTGTTTCAAAAGCCTCACCAACCCCTTCAGATAGAGAAGACGTTGGAAAAATGAGGTTTTGGGGGTTTGTTTCTCCGTTGCTCTGAACGAGGGGTCAAAGACAGTGAGTGGAACATATTTTCTCCTTCGTGCCAAGCCCGAAAAGCTGGAATGACAGGCCAACCTTTGCCAAATGAAGAATTCCACCCCCCAAAAAAAGTCTCATCAGTTGCTGATGTCCCTTAAGCTGTTCCTTTCTCATAGGGTTGGTCTCTGTCCCTCCACCTCTAAAATCCATTTCTCATCCAAGCTCATTAAAATGGAACATTACATGCTGGAGCAGGGAAGGGGCAGGATATATCTTTGGAAAGAGACTGGATTTAGACCCTGGAAGAAGGAATTCAAAAGTGGTTCTCGGAAAGGGGTGTAGGTCTCAGAGCTGAGGGGGAGGTTGGAGGGGGTCTTCCCAAGATGAAAGAAGTGATGCTGGGCATTTGGGGTGCACCCCCCAAAAGGCGCACAAAACGCATCGCCTTTGCCGAAAGACAGAGAGCGTTCCTTCCATGGACGACTTGAATATTTATATATACCTCACGAACAACTAACAGACTAACTTCTGGGGAGGCCTTTAATGGCTCCCGACGAGGATTTGCAGCAGGAAGTCCTGTCATTTTCACACGGATCCCTCGGGATTCTCTCTCCTCCCCAAGGAAGCCGGAGTCTCCAGCCTCATTGTCACATCACGCAAGGTTTGATGTCTTGATATGTGACTTGCTGGTGGTAGTAGGAGCCGCTGCCTCCTGAATGCATGGAAGAGGACGCCATGGCGTTGATGGAGAAGACGAATTCTTTCCGATCGCACATGCTCGGAGACTGGGAATGGTACCGGATTCCTGAAAAAGGAAAGCAGAGAGAAGGTTGTGGGAAAGGAAGAAAGAAATGGCTTCTGGGTTCAGCATGAAAATTGTGGGATTAGAGGGTGAATTTTGAATTCTGTTGGCTTTGGACAGGGATGAAGACAATTATATTTTTTTTTTGCAGCAGCTGAGAATAATAGGAAGGGTTTAACTCTAAGTATGAATATTGCTGAAATTGACCAGACGGCTTCTTTTAAAGACACATCAACTTTTATGACTTTATGGAAGGAAGGAAGGAAGGAAGGAAGGAAGGAAGGAAGGAAGGAAGGAAGGA